ATATATATATATATATATATATATATATATATATATATATATATATATATATATATATTTATATATATATATATATATATATATTTATATATATATATATATATATATATATATATATATATATATATATATATATATATATATATATATATATATATATATATATATATATATATATATATATATATATATATATATATATATATATATATATATATATATATATATATATATATATATATATATATATATCTATATATATATATATATATATATATATATATATATATATATATATATATATATATAATTTAATTTTTTAAAGTTGTACATGTTTTAAGAGTGTTATTGAATGTATGTTTGTGTTTGTGTTTGTGGGTGTGTTTTAGTGTTAATGAGGTATATTTTTGAGTATATGGATGTATTTTTGTGGACATCAAGGTTATTTTAGTAAAACTACAAAATAAAGATTAAAACTAGCGGTCAAAAATTACGAATATATATAAAAATAATAATAAAAAGTTTTCTCAACTGAAAAACAAATTACAATAAATAAAGATCTAAAAGTAAACTAAACTAAACTGAAACCATAAAACCCTAATTAGCAAAAATAAATAATCGTTTTCAGAATTAATAAGCAACTCATTCTGTGGTGAAACAATTGACCTGCAAAAATCTGTAACGCTTTTAGAGACAAACACATCTTTTCTTAATATGCATAAACAAGTGTTCTTTATTAAGTTCTGTTTTTGCTAAAAATGTAAATCAAACATGTTTAATCCCATTTACAGTATGATCTTTAGCATGAATTCTGAATTTGTACTTTTACTCGTTTAATTTGTCTGGTTTTGGATTCACTACAATTACTAAAACTAAAATTGAAAATATGAAAAACAAACAGAAATCTGTCCACAAAATGAAAACTAAACCAATAAAACCACTACTTATTATTTCATTACATTACCATTTAAAACTATAACCTTGTTAGGCATATTTTCGTGTTTGCGGGTGTTTGTGGCCATGTTTGTGGTTATGTTTAGGCTGTTATGATTGTATGCATGTGGGTATATGAGTGTAAGTACCCGCGAGTGGCACAGAAACCCAGCGTACAGCAGCAGGGCGGCGGGCAGCAGGACGAGGCCAAACACCAGGAACATCAGACACACACACACCACCAGCAGCAGCAGGTTCCACAGCAGCAGGACCAGTGTCCATATCACACACCCGCAGCAGCCCCGCCGGGGGCCCCAGACCCCACCGTCACACTGAGCTGGAGGCGGCGGCAGCATCCGGATCCCGTCGCCCACGTCAAACTCTTCATCACCTCCACCATCATCCAAAAGCACTGCCATTCCACACATACTAAACACACACACACACACACACACACACACATTTTCCTATTGCTTTTTATTTACATTTTTTAGGCAGAGCAAAAGTATATATATATATATATATATATATATATATATATATATATATATATATATATATATATATATAACATTAAAGGGTGTTTGGATGAATCTTTTTACACTATAAATATTTGCGGACTACACACAATTAAATGGATTTGAGTCAGAAATGTCAAAACTATTATTTTCTGCCTGAACAGGCGCAGAAGATCAAATATAATCTTCTTTGGATGAAAACATCAAAACTATAACAATAAAGCTGTTATCTGTGACAGTAGAAGAGAGATGATGAGTAACAGGTCGCGGATACTAAATCAGAAATGATTCAATCAAACCAGATATAAAACAGACAAGCAAATGAGACAGATGGAGAGAAAAGGATGAGGTGACTGTGGGTTCATGGAAATCTTAATACATTACAACACACAATACACCACTCAGAGATGTTTACTAGGGCGTTACCTGACTAAAAGTCAACACAAGATTAAAACAGACAGTCTGTCATAAATAATTGGATTTCACTAAGATGTATTGCATATAAATCACATTTCACGTATGTTATAACCTGAGGAGGTCATTTAAGCAATCAACTAATTAATTGACTGTTAAACTCTTAATCATTATCTAGTACAAATAACTTTGTGGTTGGAACAGAGCTGAATAAACACGAGCGCATTTTTCGCGCGCTTCACTTCAGACGCCGTTTGGCGCGTTTCGAATTAACGGTTTTTCTGAAAATCGCCTCAGCCTCGCAGATGCCCGACAAACTACTGAAACACTGCGTTAAAGTCTGTTTGTTCACGGACATCCGTGTCACCGAGACGACGAGGAACAAATATTACTAACGGAACTCGATAAAAGCATGGCAATGTACGGGATAACAGGTGAGTTTGCAATGTCTTACCTGCCGTGGAGCCGCGGTGATTTTATCCGTTAACCAGAGGATTCAAACATCATACACACACACACACACACACAGAGAGAGAGAGAGAGAGAGAGAGAGAGAGAGGAGACGGGGGTCTATCTGAGGACATGGGATGGATCGCAGGATACAGAACTGAACACAAAAAGGTGCACATTTTCTTCCAACACTCTTCTACAATATCATATTAGCTACTATTATATATATTGTTTTTTATTTATTTAAATACTTTCTAAAGTGTACTATAAATTCACTTATTGTTAAATGTTGTAGCATTCATTAGCAAAGATAATCAGTAACGATTCTATAATAGTAAACAACACTATATTAATAATCACTATAGTATTTGTACTGTTGTTTACCATTTTAAACTTTGTTAAAAATCAAAAGTGTCCATTCATCTTTATAATCTCCCAAATATAATGAGGGATTAGATGTGGTCCCGGAGAAACAAAACAAAATAAACATAATGAGGATAAAACTCTTTTGCTTGAAGATAATTATCAGCAGAAAACTCGCGACTTTCCTTTCAGTCGTGACTTTCTAAGCTGGAAATGTATTGCTAACAGCGGAAGCTAATTAGCGCTGATCACATTTTATCCAATGCAATTTAGTGTGTGTAAGCACTTGTTAAGAAGCTGCTTGACAGAAAATGCACCTCATTTAGCCGCTTTGTAGGCTAGCCTAGCTATCAGCCCAATGGCTAATAATAGGAAAATAAGCTGAAATATGAAAGGTGTTAACTTCTAGAGCTGTTTTGTAGTTATAGTGAAATAAAGTATGGCTATATAACAACATTTAACAAAAACAACAACAAAAAAAGCATTTTCAGCTCCCAGCAACATTTGTCATGCTGAAGTGATTAATCACAGATGTTGATAATGAAACTGATGAGCTTCATTTATTCCCAGAGTTCTGTGCAGCAGAGATAAAGCAACAGATCCGCTCGGCTCATCAGGGAGGGACTGATAGCGAGACTGGAAACAAGTCATGGCGGGTAATTAATTCATGTTTAATTTAATTTTTAAAAAGAAAGAATCAGTATTTCAAAGAAACACACATGTGCTCTCAGCGCCATCTGCTGGCCAAATCACACCACTCAGAAATCTGGATTTATGTGCTTCATGTATGGAAGATATGGCTGGGAGATGACCAGCTTGACCAGCCTAGCCAACATCATATTTAGCCCTACCAGCCTGGAAATGGCCAAAACCCCTCTAAAAGCAGGCATAGGGTGGTTGAAGCTGTGTTTTTTTAGCAGGGATAACTTTAATCAAAAACACAAAAAAATGCAAAAATGTTTGTGGATGTTAATGTTATTTTAAAAGTTGTTTTAAAGTTGGCGATCGCATAACATGAGTGTGTTTCTTGGCTTTATAACGCACTCACACTGTCACACAACCTATGTTTTTCTGAAAATTAGTTCTCTTGTTTCTCTTCTGGACTGAATGGGCATCATGTGACCCGTTTCAGAGACTAGACACACACACACATACACGTGCACACAAACACTCTTTCTCTCTCACACACACACACACACACAGAAACAAACACTCTCTCTCACACAAATACACACACAACCACTTTCCGCTGTCCCTGATGGTTACCATGGCGAACACAGTGGCCGAACACTTGATGGCCTTTTCATCTAAAAATCACTGTACAGATGACGGACAGTCAGACTGCGCCACAGTGCTCTAGTTCACATTCATTCATTCATTTTCCTTCAGCTTAGTGCCTCATTTAACAGGGGTCACCAAAGCGAAATGAACCGCCAACTATTCCTGCAAAGGATTTCCCACAGCAGATGCCCTTTCAACTGCAATCCAGTACTGGGAAACACCCATTCACAGTCATTCGCGCACACAAACACACACATTCATACACCACGGCCAGTGTAGTTGATCAGTTTCCCTATAGCGCATGTGTTTGGACTGTGGGGGAAACCGGAGCACCCAGAGAAAACCCACGCCAACAAGGGGAGAACATGCAAACTCCACATAGGAACGACAGGACTCAAACCAGCAACCTTCTCGCTGTGAGGTCACTGAGGCACCGTGTCTCCCTCGGAGGATTATATAAAATTATACAGAATCTTAACACACATCTATTATCACTCAATACTCTCGTCTCGCTCACGGCAGAATTAAGACATGATTTCCAGCAGAGTTGCTTGGAAATGCTGTTTATTGTGAAAGTGCTTTATGAACACAACAGGAGCATGTGCCTAATATGAAACACTCTCGGTTTAGAATCATAAAGGTCTGTAATAAAGAGGTCATTTCTGGCATTAGAAGATTTTCATGATTTATTGTGATTAAAGGACATTACATAGGTGAAACTGTGGTTGTACGTGTTCCTGTGTGGATTGTGTGTGTGTGTGTGTTTGATCAGTTGTTGTGTTTCCATCCAAGGATGTGAATTAGATTTATGCGCAATACTGGAATATTGCATAAAATATTTAGATTAAAGAGCCCCTGTTATGTGTGTTTGAAGATGATCTTATTAGAGGGTTAGAGCGTTACATCTAAATGTGCGCCATGTTTAAAACTATTGATTCTTTAACGAAAGAGTCGACTCAGAGTCGAATGAATGAATTGTGTTGGGTTCGGATCTTTTGCTTGAACGTGTCGACGTCGATTCAACACATTAACAAATATGTAGTTCCGGTAATACGTGAACGCGCCTTTCTCTTTATTCATTCGGCTCTCACATACTCTGTGTGCTACTACATAGCCGACCTACTGAAATTAAACTACATAAAAGACCAAGACCAAACGCAATGATTGTGGTGAATGCTGTAACTTTTGGAGGCGTGAGATGGGAGCACAGACAGATGCTCAAGACTATACAAGAATAATACTGAAGCACTGTGATTATGAACTGCAAACCATCATTACTGACACAAAGACCCTCACACACACATTTATATCTGCAGACTAACATTACTGACACAAAGACCCTCACACACACATTTATATCTGCAGACCAACATTAATGACACAAAGACCCTCACACACACATTTATATCTGCAGACCAACATTAATAACACAAAGACCCTCACACACACATTTATATCTGCACACCAACATTAATGACACAAAGACCCTCACACACACATTTATATCTGCAGACCATCATTACTGACACAAAGACCCTCACACACACATTTATATCTGCAGACCAACATTAATAACACAAAGACCCTCACACACACATTTATATCTGCACACCAACATTAATGACACAAAGACCCTCACACACACATTTATATCTGCAGACCAACATTAATGACACAAAGACCCTCACACACACATTTATATCTGCAGACCAACATTAATGACACAAAGACCCTCACACACACATTTATATCTGCAGACCAACATTAATGACACAAAGACCCTCACACACACATTTATATCTGCAGACCAACATTAATGACACAAAGACCCTCACACACACATTTATATCTGCAGACCAACATTAATGACACAAAGACCCTCACACACACATTTATATCTGCACACCAACATTAATGACGCAAAGACCCTCACACACACATTTATATCTGCAGACCAACATTAATGACTCAAAGACCCTCACACACACATTTATATCTGCAGACCAACATTAATGACTCAAAGACCCTCACACACACATTTATATCTGCAGACCAACATTAATGACACAAAGACCCTCACACACACATTTATATCTGCACACCAACATTTTCACAAAGACCCTCACACACACATTTATATCTTCAGACCAACATTGTCACAAAGACTCACACACACACATTTATATCTGCAGACCAACATTAATGACGCAAAGACCCTCACACACACATTTATATCTGCAGACCAACATTAATGACACAAAGACCCTCACACACACATTTATATCTGCAGACCAACATTAATGACTCAAAGACCCTCACACACACATTTATATCTGCAGACCAACATTAATGACTCAAAGACCCTCACACACACATTTATATCTGCAGACCAACATTAATGACACAAAGACCCTCACACACACATTTATATCTGCAGACCAACATTAATGACACAAAGACCCTCACACACACATTTATATCTGCAGACCAACATTAATGACACAAAGACCCTCACACACACATTTATATCTTCACACCAACATTTTCACAAAGACCCTCACACACACATTTATATCTTCAGACCAACATTAATGACACAAAGACCCTCACACACACATTTATATCTGCAGACCAACATTGTCACAAAGACTCTCACACACACATTTATATCTGCAGACCAACATTAATGACTCAAAGACCCTCACACACACATTTATATCTGCAGACCAACATTAATGACACAAAGACCCTCACACACACATTTATATCTGCAGACCAACATTAATGACACAAAGACCCTCACACACACATTTATATCTTCACACCAACATTTTCACAAAGACCCTCACACACACATTTATATCTTCAGACCAACATTAATGACACAAAGACCCTCACACACACATTTATATCTGCAGACCAACATTGTCACAAAGACTCTCACACACACATTTATATCTGCAGACCAACATTAATGACACAAAGACCCTCACACACACATTTATATCTGCAGACCAACATTAATGACTCAAAGACCCTCACACACACATTTATATCTGCAGACCAACATTAATGACACAAAGACTCTCACACACACATTTATATCTGCACACCAACATTTTCACAAAGACCCTCACACACACATTTATATCTTCAGACCAACATTGTCACAAAGACTCTCACACACACATTTATATCTTCAGACCAACATTGTCACAAAGACTCTCACACACACACACATTTATTAGCATCTGTCAAACACTAAATCACACAGACTGATGAGTTTACTTACTACAGCTGTATACAGCAGAGTTTATTCCTTATCAGACAAATGTTTATCCAAGTCTAATCGTTTTTAATGTGTATTTCCATTAATATTGTATGCAATATTCCACAATGTGCATAAAATAGAAACAAAGCTAGTAATATATAGTTGCAAATGTGAGCGCATTTATTCTTGAAGTATTGATTAGTGTTGTGAGGAAAGTGCTTTAGGAAGAGGGAGAGTGTTATTCAGTAGGCTGTGTAAAGCATGTGCGTG